CGACTTGTGGTCTGAAAAAATGTTTCACAAACTCTTATCTTTTGTGCAAAACAGTCTCACGATGGCTACCACGTCATCTCCGCCGTGTCATATCTCCGTCTCATTCCTCCGTCAACTTCCTCCCTGCACTACCGTTCCGTTCTTCGGTTTCTCACCGACCCAACGTAAACTGGGTGGGTTAACGGTGACCCGGAACAATCTGGCGCAGGATTTTCTCGGGGATTTTGGAGCACGTGACCCTTACCCGGAGGAGATAGCTAGCCAGTTCGGAGACAAAGTGTTGGGGAACCAAAGCACTGAGCACAAGATTCTCATTCCTAATGCCTCTGTTCTCTCCCTCTCTCAGCTCCAGTGTTCTCCTGTTTCGCCTTCTCAGGCTCCTTTATCCGCTGACGAGGCCAAAACGCTCCTCCATAAGGTTAATTTCTCATATATATATATATATATATAACATCTTAACTACGGTAGTTCTGTTTGGTGTAAAATGTTCGAATTTTTTATTTTCTAAATTCATCGGTTGATTAATAGACTAAAACATGAAATCTTCGTCTCTCATTAAAATATTAGTTGTCTATAATCTATACGAAGCCCTATCATTGTCATGATTATGGAACTTTGAAAGAAAGTACTGTATATTCTGTCGTATAGAGCTAATTACAGTCGAGATTATGAAATTACAACTATGACTTTTCACAATGTCAAATCTCAAACATAATATTAGATAAGCCCAAAAAAATATTTATAATTATATGGGCATGTTAGGAATAACAGGGCTAGTCCGGAACATAAGCGAAGTAAGGAACTTTAGGACATTGTGATTTTTAGTGATAATTTTAACTACATATAAGGTACTATAAAAAAATTTAAATGAGTTTAGAGCATCAAGAAAAAAATGAAAATGTTGGACTGGCACTGAACCATTACGAGTATTAATATTTAATCAGCCATGTGTTGCTGTTTTCGTTTTTCCCAGTTGGCATTTTAATGGAATCATGAAATTTCGTATAGCTATTTATATTCAGTCTTAATCTATTGTAAGTAATAGCTTTGTTTAGTGTTTACAATAAAGTGAATGTTTGTTTTGCACAAATGACAATCATTTTGTTCAAAACTTGATTTTGATTCGCTATGAACAGTGTAATGTTGTATTTTAAGTATCTTATGTGTTGGTTATGTAAAACGTTTCAGGTTTTGGGATGGAGTATAGTGGAGGATGAAGCGGGTGGTCTGAAAATAAGGTGCATGTGGAAGGTGAGGGATTTTGGGTGCGGTGTTGAACTCATAAACAGGATCCATAAGGTTGCTGAAGCTTCTGGTCATTACCCTTCTCTCCATCTGGAAAGTCCTACTCAAGTTAGAGCTGAACTTTCCACCTCTTCCATTGGTATGTCATCACACACAAAAACAAACACACGTTCTCGTTCATTTTGAGTTTTTAGTGTAACGTTTCATAAAATGGTTTGATGTTGGTTATTTGGTGAACAATGCAGGAGGGTTGAGCATGAACGATTTCATAATGGCGGCAAAAATAGATGATATCAAGACTTCTGATCTTTCCCCTAAGAAAAGAGTTTGGGCATAACAAACTTGGCTTTTTTTTACTTCTCACTTTTTTTTGTTTGATAACATATAATGTACGTGATGTATTCAGTACTTGTCCAAATGGGTTATTCGGAACGTGTTTTGATAATATGGTTTATATTTTTCTAAAAAGGTTTACGATAAGTTTTCTATGTCAGAACTGTATCTTTTAAAAATTAAGGTGATGATTGTTTATTTAGTTTTTATATTTTAGTTTTTAGTTTTAAGCTTAAATTTTATTTGATAATAAATTTTATTAATACTATAGATTTTACTATTTTTTACCAATATTTAAATATAGAATTAATTTAGTTAAACATTAAATTAAGATAAATAATTTTGTTTATTTTAAATTATATTTAAGAATATATATGTATATATATTTAAAATTACAATCTTAGATTTTTCCTATCCATTTCTATTGCTTAAATATATTGAGTTAATGAGTATAAAATTAATAAAGTGATATAAAATTGTAATTATCAAAAATTTAAACTAAACATTATTTACAAAATTTATAGATATATAAGAAACTAATGATTTTACGATTAGAAATTTATATTTTTAAAAAATTGTAGCAATTTTTAAATATTTTAGTAATACAAATTGTATAATGTAAAAAATAAAATAAAATAATATTTCAAAATTTGTAATGTTTTATTTGAATATATTTATTTTAAAGATGATATATGAGTTATTATCATATTTTAGTTTTTTACCATACATAAATATTAAATGTAAATTATGTTTTATTACCATATTTAAAAAGTTTACCAAAAATATAAATCAACACTAAATGCAATTATTCATGTCATATTATGCCATAAGTCATGTCATCAATTTTATTAACCACTAGATGATAATCCGCGCCATGCGCGGAGTGAACTTCTTAAAAATATGTTGTATTTAAATACATATTTTGATGTTACAAAAAAAAAAATACATATTTTGCTATCAATAACTTTTTTTTTTGTATTTGATTAGGAATAGGCATTTGGGTACCATTTGTTTCGGTTAGAATCTGTTTAGTTTAGATCTTTACGGTTTGGTTTGGATTGGGTGTAAGTTCGGATAACCCATTTAATTTTTTTTCCGAAAAGATTGAAATTCATATATACTTTAAACTTTTCAAAATCTAAAAGTAAAAATAATATATAACATAAAAATTTGAAATATGAATGCCAAAATACTTAAACTTAAAATTTCAAAATCCGTTTGGATATCTAATCAATTTTGGTTAAAAATTTGTACTACTTTTTGGATTAGATTTGGTTCGACTATCTGGATCAATTTTTTTGCCCAACCATATATTTTTTACTGTAACAAAATTTAAACGAAAGGGATGATGGTTCATATTGATTTTGGGTATGCAAAAATTTTTAAACAATACACACTGTATTATGCGGGATACATTTAGTTAATCATTATAAATTGTTTAAAACCCATTAGAAAAACGATTGGCTGAACTAAAAACGTTATCTTTGATCACAAAATTTTCAAAGTGAGATTTTTACCATTTTTAGAAATTTATGATCGTTTAAAAAAATTTAAAATAAAACATATAAGAAAAATTATATTTTTATTATATGATTAATGTATTGTTTAATTTCTTATAACAATATAAAATTAAATAAAAAGTAAAGAGGATAAAAAGTTGTTATCATATCTTTATTATTCATAAAAATTAATTGTGATATAAATATTAATCATATTAGGAAATTCCATAGCTTTTATCTAAGGAAAGAATAGGAAATATTATTTTGTACACTACTAATGAAATATGATAGTTAATATAATAAAAATCTAACATATGTTTAGTTGGACCAACATATGTCTCTAAAAATTATGAAAATCATTCTCATTGTGACATGTGGCTACCAAAAAATGTTCTAATGCTCCATGATTAATATATAGGGGATAAAACTACTAATCAAAAATATTATAATTTTAAAATTTTTAAATATTTTATTAATTTATAGCCGTTTTTATAAATTCAAAATATAACATATATCAAAAAAATGTAATTTTTGTTATATAGTTAATGTTATTGTTTAATTTATTCTCACAATATAAGTTTAACAAAAATAGTAGAGGCTATAATTTTTTTATCAAGTCTTCATATTCGAATCATTAATTATCATAGATATATTATAACCATATTAGGTAATTTCGTAAATTTCATATAAGGATATAACGAATAGCATTAATAATGATTTTATGTTTAGTTTAATAAAAAGTAAATTATATGTTATATGGACCAACATTTTTCTCTAGTAAATTTGAGAAGCATTCTCATGATGACACATGACTATCAAAACATGTTGTAATACTTCTCAATTAATATATAAGGGATGTCACACTTTTTTGTGAAACTGATTGTAGAGATGACATGTGGCAAAATCACTTCACAAATAATACATAGGGGATATTATATAAATACTAAATATTTTTATTGCCACGAGAATCAAGTCTAATCTTATTTTTGTAAGAAAATAAAATTTTGGTATGAGACGAATAAATGAACAAATTTTATTTTGCTTTTCTTCGTTAGGCCAATTTTAATAATCCGGTCAATCAAACCAAATTATACAAACAAGATAAAAAGAGGGATATAATAATTCCTATAATATTAGAAAATATATTATACATAAACGTGGTAAATAATCCTTACCATTAGCCTTAATGTATTTGAATGTTTTTATATTGGTAAAACTTATATTTTTATATTAATTTAATTAAAAAAACAAAGTAATAATATATATTAATTAGTTACATGTAATAAATCTGAACAAATGCAACACACTAAAGTTAGTTTCACTATATTTTGGAGATTACAAAACTTTTGATATTATGCAGATGTTAAAAGAGAAATTGAAAAATATTTAACTTATGTATTAAAGTAACTATTAAAAAAAATAAAATTCTGCCCAATCATGAATCATAATCTCAAGTTTTATATGAAAATAATTACACCGGCATAAGAAAAATAAATATTCAAAAATTAATTTTAGTTTTCTTCTTTCATCTATCTTTCTCATATGATCAATCAAATCAAATTACATACATTAATGAAACCACATTTTATGCATGAAAAAATGACAAACCGAATGGATAATCATATTTTTATAACATTAAGAAAGAAATCTTTAAAATAAAATAAATATATACTATTGACCAAATACAATGCATATATAATATTAGGAAAGAAATCATATTATTAACTAAATACAAAGTGGTGTAAAATATTTATCATAAAACTCAAGATTTGATTGTTTATGTTTCCATAATTGATTAGAAGCTTACAATATTCTCCTTATAAATTGGATCATATTGCATTACTTAATTTCATCAAACAAGAATCAACTTACAACAAATCATATAAATCTTTTCTTTTTGAAAACCCAAGTATTTCCATCATGATGGTTAAGAATGTGTACTTTATTCTAGTGAGTATATGCATTGCATCATCCGTTAATGCTCAGTTACCACAAGTTCCATTTCCATTTCAACCAAGTCCTGGTACACCAGGATTTCCATTTCCGCTTCCGTTTCCGTTTCAACCAAGTCCCGGTGGTATGCCAGAAATTCCTGATATGAGGAAATGTTGGTCAACATTTATGGATATGCCCGGATGCCTTGCAGAGATAAGACAATCTATTACCACCGGAAAATTTGGTAGTATAGGTCCCGCTTGTTGTAAAGTTTTTTTAGATGCTGAAGCTAACTGCACACACCATCTTCCATTCAACCCCTTTTTTCCTCCTATGGTAAAAGAACAATGCTCCCGAGCTGCTGGTCCTCCAACGACATTGTAGGATTAAGGATTACATACGTGAAATATTAATTACAAAAAAGAAATGGTGGTGATCAGATAATTATTGTTGTATTTCCTATGTTAAGCATTTCATATATTGATAATAACATATATTATTGAAGTTAAAGTAACAAACAAGTAAAACGACTTATTTTGAGAAGTGTATGAATCTCAAAACATGTCACAATGTTTGGTTGATGAATAAATCTTTGGTTCTTTATGTCGTATTAATCAACCATTTTATGTCTCATAACTTTCATAAATTTCTTATTATATTTGATGTCAACTAGGTGTTTTCATAGAATATGTGTAACAATAATAAAATATATATTTAAATTATATTTTAAAATAAAATTTTCTTAATATTTTAATGTTTATTCTTTTCTTACCAATATTTCGATATAAAATTTAATCTTTTCTTACCAATATTTCAATATAGATTGTTTGTGGGTTTTAGAAAAAAAAAAAAATTTCTGTGAACTGTTACCATGAATAAATTATCTTAATTTGTATATGCCAAACAATTTATTAAAGATACGGTTCATGATTGAAAATAGGTTTTCAAGATTTTAGTTTTGAGAATTTTTTTAGATGAAATGTACATATATAAGAGTAGGTTATTAATGGTCTTGGCGTCAAATATATTAACTAAAATTGTTTTTTAACTTTTATTGTAGTTTCAGTTTCACAAAAGGAAACATACATGGCATTCGACAAAGCATATGCTACTTAGATTCATACAGTGATCAAAATATATATGACTGTGGATTTCAGATATTAGTTTGAGTTTTTACGTTGGCTAAAACTATTAAACAAAAAATATGAATTTTTAAAATTATAAATGATAATAATGTTATATATTTTTCTGAAAATTTTTAGGATAAATTTTGTAAGTTAAAACTGTATCTTTTAAAATTTAAAATATTTAAATAGCTGTCCACTATAATCTATGACACAAAGAATATCTAATTTGGATATTAAGTAAATACTAAATATTTTTATTGATGTACAAGAAGGAATTTTAATTTTATTTTCATAAGAAATTTTTTTTTGGTACAAGACGAAAAAATTAACAAATTTTATTTGCTTTTCTTCTTTCATTTAATTGTCTCTGTCGTATGGCCAATTTTAACAATCAGGTCAATCAAACCAGATTATACATACTATATAAAGAGAAGGGATAAAAGAATTCCTATAGTATTAGGATATATATATATATATATACATATACATATATTGACTATACATTAAAGTAGCAAATAATCCTTACCATTGGACTCAGTGAACTTGACTGTTTTTGTATTGATAAAACTCATATTTTGATATTAATTTAGTTTGTAAAATAAAATAATAAATGTATACTAATTTAACTATACGTAATAAATTTGGTTAAATTCAACACACTAAAATTAGCTTCAGTATCTTTTAGAGATCACAAAACTCTTACTGGTATTACAGAGAAGTTAAAGAGCAATTGAAAAGTATTTACTTTACAAGAGCTGCTCATTAAAGGAAAAACTCTTCGCTGGGAACTCACCAAGCAAGTGATTTTAGGTACTTTAGTAACCCAGGTGCTTTAGCAACTCGGCTGAAAAGGAAAAGTGTTTCTTACTCGAGCACTTGTTGCGAGAAGAACAAGAGTATTTTTTAAAGGAGAGGGCGTAAGCATGATTCTGGGGCGGAGCCATATGACACAAGAGTGTCTCCGACATGGACCCAATGAAATTGAATTCTACGTGAAGATGTTAAAAAATATAAAGTTTCCGCTAAAGTATGAATCATAATTATAAGTTTCATAAGAAAATAACTATACCAGCATAAGACAAATAAATTTTTCAAAAATTGATTTTTTGTTTTCTTCTTCCATATAGTTTTCTTTCTCCAATGGTCAATCAAATCAAATTAGATACATTAATTAAATCAAGTTTATGCATGACAAAATGACAAATCAAATGTATAATCAAATTTTTATATTAAGAAAGAAATAATTAAAATAAATAAAATATATACTATTGACCAAATACAATGCATATATAATATTAGGAAAGAAATCATATTATTAACTAAATACAAAAGTGGTACTAAATTTTTATCATAAAACTCAAGATTTGACTGTTTATGCTTCCTATAATTAATTAGAACCCAACACCATTTTTCTTATATATTGGATCATATTGCATTACTTAATTTCATCAAACAAGAATCAACTTACAAAAAAAATCATATCCAGGACATCTAAGTCTTCTCTTATTTGAAAACCCAAGTATATTCATCATGATGGTTAAGAATGCGTACTTTATTTTAGTGAGTATATGCATTGCATCCTCTGTTACTGCTCAGTTGCCGCAGTTTCCATTTCCATTTCCATTTCGACCAAGTCCTGGTGCACCAGGATTTCCATTTCCGCTTCCATTTCAACCAAGTCCTGGTACACCAGGATTTCCATTTCCGCTTCCGTTTCAACCAAGTCCCGGTGGTATGCCAGGAATTCCTGATATGAGGAAATGTTGGTCAACATTTATGGATATGCCCGGATGTCTTGCAGAGATCAGACAATCTATTACCACCGGAAATTTTGGTAGTATAGGTCCCGCTTGTTGTAAAGCTTTTTTAGATGCTGAAGCCAACTGCACACACCATCTTCCATTCAACCCGTTTTTTCCTCCTATGGTAAAAGAAAAATGCTCCCGAGCTGCTGGTCCTCCAATGACATTGTAAGATTTAGGATTATATACGTGAAAGATTAATTACAAAAAGAAATGGTGGTGATCAGATAATTATTGTTGTATTTCCTATGTTAAGCATTTCATATATTAATAATAACATATATTATTGAAGTTAAAGTAACAAACAAGTAAAACGACTTATTTTGAGAAGTGTATGAATCTCAAAACATGTCACAATGTTCGGTTGATGAATAAATCTTTGGTCCTCTATGTCGTATTAATCAACCATTTTATGTCTCATAACTTTCATAAATTTCTTATTATATTTGATGTCAACTAAGTGTTTTCATACACTATGTGTAACAATAATAAAATATATATTTAAATTATATTTTAAAATAAAAATTTCTTAATATTTTAATGTTTATTCTTTTCTTACCAATATTTTGATATAAAATTTATTCTTTTCTTACCAATATTTCAATATGATTGTTTGTGGGTTTTAGAAAATAAAATATTTTCGGTGAACTGTTACCATGAATAAATTATCTTAATTTGTATATGCCAAACAATTTATTAAAGATACGGTTCATGATTGAAAATATTTTTTCAAGATTTTAGTTTTGAGAATTTTTTTAGATGAAATGTACATATATAAGAGTAGGTTATTAATGGTCTTGGCGTCAAATATATTAAGTAAATTTTTTATAACTTTTATTGTAGTTTAAGCTTCAAAAAAGGAAACATACATGGCATTCGACAAAGCATATGCTACTTAGATTCATACAGTGATGAAAATATATATAACTGTGGATTTCAGATAAAAATTTGAGTTTTTGCATTGGCTAAAACTATTAAACAAAAAATATGAATTTATAAAATTATAAATGATAATAATGTAATATATTTTTCTCAAAATGTTTACGATAAATTTTGTAAGTTAAAACTGTATCTTTCAAAATTTTAATTATTTAAATAGCTGTCCACTATAATCTCTGACACAAAGAATATCTAATTTGGATATTAAGTAAATACTAAATATTTTTATTGATGTACAAGAAGGAATTTTAATTTTATTTTAATAAGAAATTTTTTTTGGTACAAGACGAAAAGATTAACAAATTTTATTTGCTTTTCTTTCATTTAGTTGTCTCTGTCGTATGGCCAATTTTAACAATCAGGTCAATCAAACCAGATTATACATACTATATAAAGAGAAGGGATAAAAGAATTCCTATAATATTAGGATATATATATATACATATATTGACTATACATTAAAGTAGCAAATAATCCTTACCATTGGACTCAGTGAACTTGACTGATTTTGTATTGATAAAACTCATATTTTGATATTAATTTAGTTTGTAAAATAAGATATGATTTTTTTTTGTAAACTAATAACTTGTCATGTGCCACGATCGTATTAATTAGTAACTTTGAGGAACCAAGCTTTATATAATAAAAAAATTTTAAAAAATTATAATAAGATATGATTTTTTTTTTTCGTTTTAAACTTTTTAGTTAGGATTTTAATAAAAAAATTAGCATTATGAGAGTAGAAATATTTTAAAGAGGAAAAATATGTTTTTTGGACAATTTTTTTTAACATATGTCACAATCTTAACTAACAACTTGCGATGGGTCGCGATCGTTTAAATTAGTAACTTTGAGTAACCAAACTTTATATAATAAGAATTTTAAAAAAGTTTTATAATAAGATAAGATTCTTTTTTTCGTTTTAAAATTTTTAGTTAGGATTTTAATAAACGATAGCATTATGAGAGTAGAGATATTTTAAAGAGGAAAAACATGTTTTTTGGACATTTTTTTTAATACATGTCACAATCTTAACTACTACTTGTCATGTATCACGATCGTGTTAATGTATTACGATCGTGTTAATTAGTAACTCTGAGGAACCAAACTTTATAGATTCTAATTATTTAATGTCTGCCAACTGTTTGAATATTAATCGTTGTTCTTTTCATATTATATTATCTTGGATTGTTAGCCTTCCAACTCGTTAGATTCATATTCGATGTAGATGAGGTCATGTTAGTCGTTTAAACGGGGGCCAACGTGTATGGTGTTGCCTTCGAGACCTAGGCATGTGTCTTGCGATTTTCTGAGCGGGTATACGTTTTCGTATCTACATGTCTCGTTGGCGACCTAAGTCTTTTTACTGTTGCCAAAGTTTGCGTAACAGTCGTAATGCTTAAAGTCATTATTTTTCTATAAGTATAAGACCAACCTTCATTTTTTACTACTTGACATTTTCCAATGATTTCACTGATAACTACTTCTCAATACCTTCTGTTTTGCTTTAGCTCAAACTTCCCACTGATGGAGATTACATGGAGGTGGATTTTTCTCCACACAAACCATTAGGTCCATTGGAGTACTAGCGTATATGGTTAATACTAAAATAAAATAAAAAGCTTGAAATACTTACTAGAACTCATTTTACAAAAAGATGATAGGTAGATGGTATTCTATCTCTTCGTATCCGAATTATCTTTACTAAGAGATTAGAGCTTTAGTAGAGAATGGATAGAAGGATGTTTTATGAGAATGAGAGACAATCCTTATGTTTTGTTTAATCAAATGACAAAAACTATGTTTTTCGACATTTTTCATTTATGATCTCACTTCTCTACCTTATATACTTTCCCACCTGATGGTATTATATTAAACCGAATATATATACCTTCAGATATACGTGAGTTAGGAACTACAACCAAACCAGTAAACTGTAATTTAACCGGTCATGAACCATTGTCATTTAATTCAGTCACTCATAGAATATAAATGACATCCTAACAGGTTTATATGCATAACACCCCAATATCCAACAACTCAATACTAAAAGTTCAATCCAAATATAACAACTCATAATTTGGGTCAAACCGAGATAACAATACTTAATCCATAAATCCAACAACTACTGTAGTTCATATCTCCAACACCTACTTCTTTTGTTCAAATTAAAGGGCTTCGAGTGGAACAAGTCAACGGTAACGAGGTCGTCCTCCCACCTGAGCTGTGAGTCTGGATGCTCATTGAGTCACCCTGCTCCAAGTCATCTTTGTCGAGTCATTGAGAGTATTGTTGTCAATGAAGATGAAATCGTAAAATGGAGTTGGAGGATTACTCTGTTGATCCTGAAGTAGCTGAGTCATAGGAAAAGCAAGGAGATCGTGACTTAGGACAATGCAATGTCCATATCCAGCTCCTCAATGTGCTAAGAAGCGACAGTTTTCTAACCCTTGAGGCTGAACTAGCAAACTAGGTGTGATAGACATGATGTCAACGATCTCAAAGAATCCTTATAGAAAAAATGAAGTGTCACAGGTCTCATCTTTGGTACGCAAATAAGACCCTCATGTTTGGTTTGGGTGCTCCTGGGCCATTTTATTTGGACCCGATTAGATTGGTAAAAAAATAGATAGACATTTCAAATTTTTCATGTTTTGAACACAAAAAGTAGATTTATACTATTATTCTTAAAATAATTTTTACCATCCAAACTCTCACGTTAAAAGTTGGACTGTGAATATTTTTATACCCTTAATGAATAAATTATATAAATGATTTAAAATAAAAAGAAATTTACAATTTATTTTTTTAGATTAAGTGATTAGAATTAATAATACTAGGAATTAATCATCCAAAATTTAAAATATATATTTTGACATAAAAGAAAATTCTTATATATATTGTATTGTTATTGATAAATATCTTTTGATATAAATTTAAAAATTCAAAAATAGAGACATATAATTAAATATTAATTTAAATTAATTTGCTCTTGTTAAAGTCTGAGCATGGTATAAATTACAGTACGTAGCATAATTAGCCTGAGAGATAACTCAGATAAGAAGAAGCTTCACTTACCTAGCAAAGAGAGAGGAGAGTCTCTGTATACTCAGTAAAGCTTTTGAGTAAAAATGATGATGACAGCAACTTCCTCGTTTCTCTCGTCGTCCTCTCTGCTTCCCTTTCAAGGTCTCTCTCCTTTTCTATCTCTCTTTTCTCTTCCATCTCTCTCACTCACTATTGAAACACTTTTTTTTTTCCACAGGGCCAAACCGGCGAATGCAATGGAAAAGACACGAAAAGGTTCGTCTTTTAGCGTCTCTTGTTCTCCTCAATCAACTGTTAAATTATATACGGAGGAGCTCCAGTTTCAGTAAAAACACAGACCAAGGAACCATGCATATGAATTGTTCGATGAAATGCTTGACTGAATCTTGAAATTGTTTTCTTTTTTTATGGCGCAGAGACAGTTCTCGAGAAAGGTGGCTGTTTCTGGTGTTATCACAGCGGGATTTGAGCTTAATCCACCTCCCTATCCTCTTGTAAGATTTTTTCGTTAACAAGAGTAGATTGAAAAAAGACTCAGATTTTAGATTTTAATTTTGGTTTATATATTATGCACATCATGTGGTAACAATACTGTATTAATAAAAATCTTTGAAGGTTAGTTATGATGAAATGTTATGAATGTAAGAGCAACAAAAGTGTGAATCAATACTTTCAACTCAAAGATATGTTGAGGTAACAAAGTGGCTGTGTATTTCTTTGGCAGGATGCTCTGGAACCGCATATGAGCCGGGAAACCTTGGATTATCATTGGGGAAAGCATCACAAGACTTACGTTGAGAACCTGAACAAGCAAATCGTTGGCACAGATCTAGATGGATTGTCATTGGAAGAGGTTGTGCTTCTCTCATACAACAAAGGCAATATGCTTCCTGCCTTCAACAACGCCGCACAGGTAATGCCGATATTTATAATATCGTTTTTACCCGTTTCTTACTAAGGGGATTTGGATGTGAGGTATATATGAGGGGCTTTGCAGGCGTGGAACCACGAGTTCTTCTGGGAGTCTATCCAACCTGGAGGTGGAGGAAAGCCAAGTGGAGATCTTCTCAGATTGATAGAGAGAGATTTTGGGTCTTTTGATGACTTTTTAGAAAGGTTCAAGGCAGCTGCTGCCTCCAACTTTGGTTCAGGTTGGACTTGGCTTGCATGTGAGTGTTGTTTCCAACTTTGCATCCCCTTCCACTAGAAAAAAAAATGCAAACCCTCCCATCTTACTTAAGGGTTCACTGATGCAGACAAGGCGAATAGACTTGATGTTGCAAATGCAGTAAACCCGCTTCCAAAGGAGGAAGACAAGAAGCTTGTGATAGTAAAAACTCCCAATGCAGTAAATCCACTCGTATGGGACTATTCTGTAAGTTTCTAAACTTTCCAAAAAGTGTAGATGAGTCTTTGTTGCTAGCTATTGATTTTGATTTCCTCATCCGTTTATGTGCAGCCACTTCTCACCATTGATACCTGGGAGGTATAATCTAATCTACTCATCTTTCAATCTATGAATTTCACTTTAGAATATTGGTTTCTTGATGCCTAACTTAGTTTTCTTCTTTGTGCAAAACAGCACGCTTACTATCTGGATTTTGAGGTATTATCAAAATGCTAAATGATGCTTTCACTATATTTTTGAAAGCAGAGGTTCTCAGTTCTCATGTTGTTGTGTTATGCGCAGAACCGGAGAGTTGAATACATAAATACATTCATGGAAAAGCTGGTGTCATGGGAAACTGTAAGCACAAGACTAGAATCTGCAATGGCTCGAGCAGCTCAAAGAGAACAAGAAGGAACTGATACCGAAGATGAAGAGAATCTAGATGATGAAGAGCCTGAGGTTTACTTAGATAGTGATAATGATGTATCTGAGGCTGACTAAAAAAACTAAATATCAGTGATAAACATTTAGCTTCTGAACAAAATGTCAATTACAGAGCAAAATTTTCTGCTTATTAAGCCCTATAACTTTAAATAAATTTTGAGATTCTTGTGGTTTAAAACAAAAAAAAAAACTTAACGTTACATATTTTACAGTCCTCCTATGCGGTCTTGTGATGAGTTACGAGGAGACCTGTGATGAGGTAAAGCCAAGTATCTTTCTACAGGTGGTGAATGTCTGTAAACTCTTTGTAAATCATATGGCATTTGGTGATGCCCATGTATTGAAGGAGAGTACTCTCGAGGAAGTCTCTGTCCGTGAACCGGGGAATGCTGTCTTGGAACCGGAGAGTAAAAATTTGGAGGCAGATGATCATACACAGATAAATCTCTTCCTAACCCACCAGGTGGAACCATATATTCAGGAGATCTCCCGAGACTTGACTGATGAGGAAAACCTGATGCTGGCCCCAGGTAGCTACTCACAAGAGCTGATATTTCATCTGTATCTCCCTCTCTGTGACTAGGGAAGCTTCGGTCACGGTATATAGGAGAATAAGATGAGTAAGCTGTTTGTGGTGGCATTTCCATGTCTGACAACCTTGGACGTTTCATCTGTTGGTTATACAGTCTCTTGTTAAGTGCCGCTTCCTCCATTAGACTGATGGATCTCGCTTCCTCCATTCGACTGATGGATCTCGCTTCCTCCATTCGACTGATGGATCTCGCTTCCTCCATCTGTTTGTCGAGCTGAAGAATGTCTTTCTCCAGCTTCACCATTTGCTCGTTGATCTGCCACCCTGGTACTTCTTTCGCTGGATCCAACTTGTGAGCCTCCAAACACTTCATCACTGATAATAACGCAGCTAACTGCTTCTCGTTCGCCTCTTTCTGTTGAGAGAATAAAAGCAAATAACGTTAAGAATCAAAAAGAGTTTATTAAGGTAAGTAACGTATAAAGAAGAGTTCATACAAATGCCATGGGTGCTTGCGCTTTCCGTTTTGCCTTCTCAAATGAATCCTTGCTCATCCTTAGGAATGAAGTTAGAATTGAAGAAGCTGAAAACCTATCCTCCATCCCAAACGTATATACCATCTCAAGAGCTTCAATATGCATCCCACGCTTGATACTTGACTCAACTATACCTATAGCCAATAGAATATCGTGTTAAGAGTTCAGACCCTTTAGTCCACATTGCTCAAGGCTTATGTAGTATGCAACAGCCAAAGTCACATGAATTTAACATGCAATATCGAAAACCACTACTTTCAAGGCAATTAAACCTTGTCCGGTTCTAACAGATAACAATCTTGTCTCACTGAACTCTAAACTACCATGTTCTGTCCTATCTCATTGTAATTCTACTCTCAAACTCATATACAAAACCAAAAACTAGATTCTTTCTAACCAATTCTACAACAAAAAGAAACCACCGTTATAACATAAACCCACCAACTCAAGAAAAAAAACAACGTACCTGACATCATAGGAACAAGAAAAGGCGACCTTTTTAACGCACCCATAACCTCACCAACACCACTCCGCCTAATCAAATCCAACAAATCCACACTCCTAAACCCCTCAGGAACCCCAAAACAACAAACCAACAAAAGCAAACCCCTCGCATCCATCTCCTCCGCACAACCCAACCCTCCTTCACCCACCAGCCTCTTCCTCCACGCCACAGCAGCCGCCTCCGCCTCGTCTTTAACAGAACTAACAACCTCAACCTTCCCCTCCTCATCAAAATCAAACGTCAGAAGATAACACTCCAGAATTAAAAGCGAAACCTTCCTCGCAGGAACCGCAGGCGAATTATCAGCGAACGCTTTGCGTCCTTGCAAATAAAACTTCCCAATGCATTCGAAAACGAACTTCGCTGGGTCCTTAGCAAGCTTCAACGCTGACGGAAGCTCTTTGATTAACTTAGCCTCGTCGGAGATGTTCGTGTACATGTACTTGCGCAGCTCTTTGCTGCACATCGATTCACACAATCGTTCCACTTCGGACTTATCAGACTTCTCCGGTGGCGATTGGCATGCAATCGCGGTGGTTGTTACTTCAGACCGCGGAGGCGACGCGGCGGAGGTTTCGGTGGGGTTAGTTTTGAGTTTGGAGTCGATTGCGGTCTCGATGGAGTCCACGTGGCTCTGCAAGTCGTCGTAGAGGCGTTTGAAGGCGTTGAATGCGGTTGTAAACGCGGTTAAGTCGTCGATGGTTTTGAGAAATTGAGGAGGGTTAGGTTGTTGTTGGATCATCTCCGGTGAAGGTTGCTCCTCTCTTGTTGGTTGATGATGGGCGTAACCGTTACGGAAGGCCATGTGAATTTGCGGAGGGAGGAGAAGAGAGAAAGATTGGTTTACAGTTGTGTGTTGTTAATAAAGCCCTAATTTTCATTCCTCGTAACTGTTCAGAGTTTGTCCCTGAGGTTTATGATTGTTTTCGATTGTAGCCCCCAATTATATTTTTTTTTAAACTCGAAAGTGACCAAAATCGATATTAAAATTTGGAGATGAAATATACTGAGAAACTGAGAAATTGCAAGATTTCAAGTGTAATATACATTGTTCATTCCAAATTTTCACATACAAAAAGAACTGGAACTGTGATTAAGTGCACTGTTAGTTAGAAAATGTGGTAAACATTGATTAATCGCGGCACAAAATAACTAATTGAGTCGTATTAAATTTAATGAAGTTACGGAAAAATTTAAAATCTACCAAATAAAAAATTATGGAACGCGATGTTTATTTATTATTACATAAATTAGGTAAAATATGGAAAGTTATTAAGTGATGATTCTTAAGGTAGAATTTCGGTTCTATAGAAGCTGAAATTTACGCTTGTAGAAATTATTGAAGAATCGGAGATAAAAGTAATTTTTAATGCTTCTGCATAATTTCCTTTTAACGATTATATATAGATAAAAAAATATTTTATATATTATTTGATCTATTATTAAATAACATATATTAGTACCTAAGCGAGTGATAAAATACTAAACTAATTATTAAAAATATAAAAATAAATTAAATTTATGAAAATTTAATATCGATGATTAAGGAACTTTAGTCGTGGTCGACTCTCTCAATAAAATTGAAGGAAATAACATAGTTCAAAAAAAAACATTCAAGCATTCAAAATATCCTATATTTTTTTTTTGTGGGCAAAATGGGATTGTTAACTTTTTAGTTAAAACATCTCAATCTTTTCATAAAATTATTTTTGTTGCTTATTCTATTCTGATTGTGTAGACTTTGAATAATAGAATGACATTTTTCGTAAGAGAATTTACACTTTTATAGTTTTTTATTTGAGTAATAGAATGACATTTCTCGTATAGTTCTATGTTTATCGATACTAAAAAGTATATCGAATTTAATTATATGTATACACATCCTACAATCACTCTGAACTCTTCTTTCATGCAAACACATGACTCAACCAATTCAGAAAAATAAAGTATAATATAATTCGAGTAACAGTACATAATTTAATAAGCTACTCAAAGTTACCTCACGCACTAATCACTATGTATCTTTATATATATATATACATGTTTGCAACAAGCAATTGATATTTGACGTACAAGACGAGTGAGTATAACCAAAGAATCTTTATATACAATCCTCCAATAGTGAAATTTATGCGATTGATGTCTTGTCTGTAACGCGTACGTTGTAAGAATCTGGTTTGGTCCGAACCGAAGGGTTTCCAGTATCATCGAGAACCACAAAAGCCGTGTCACCAGGCTTGAAGCTCCCAGCAAGAAAGGCTTCGCTGAGTGGATCTTCCACAATCTCTGTGACGGTTCTACGTAGTGGTCGTGCACCGTAGGCCTGATCATAGCCTTGTCTGCATATAAGTTCCTTGACAGGTTCAGACACTTCTAAACCGACTCCAAGTGCCACAAGCCTCGACTTCAAGTCTTGTAACATCAGGTTCAGGATCTCCATCATCTGCAAAATCAGAGTTAAAATGTTGTTAATATGTTTGGTTCGACTAAGTCAAGTTTTGGTTTAGTTTGGTGTTTCGTGACTAACCTGAGCCTGCTCGAGCTGTCTGAAAATGACGATTTCGTCTATCCTGTTCAACAACTCTGGACGGAAGTAGTTCTTGAGTTCTTCCACAACCAAAGCTTTCATACCAGAGTAAGAAGCTTCCTCTTCGTCATCGTCGAGGATGAAACCTATTGACCCGTGTCTTCCCTTGGCAATAGCTGATGATCCAACATTAGAGGTCATTATGATCAATGCGTTCTTAAAAGATACTCTCCTTCCCTGTAAAACAACAAAGCCAAACATAAACTTAAACTCTTTAGGTCTCTTGAATAAGCTACAAAATGATTTTAAAGTAAAAATGTGAGGGCATCGAACCTGTGAATCAGTTAGATGGCCATCTTCGAATAGTTGGAGAAGAATATTGAAAATATCAGGATGAGCTTTCTCTATCTCATCGAATAAAACCACAGTAAAAGGACGTCTCCTGATAGCTTCAGTGAGCATTCCACCTTCTTCAAAACCAACATATCCTGGAGGAGAGCCTATCAACTTGCTCACGGTGTGACGCTCCATGTATTCACTCATATCCAATCTCAGCATAGATTCCTCCTGCAATGAAGAAATGAATTTAGTGACCACATCATGTGTCATTAGCATTGTTAAGGAAGCTGTACCGATCCGAAATAATTAGCTGCTAGAGCTTTCGTGAGCTCCGTTTTGCCAACACCAGTTGGTCCACAGAAAAGCATAGCGGCGATAGGACGGTCAGGATCTTTTAACCCAACACGTGACCTCTTCACAGCTCTAGATATGGCAGCTACAGCTTCATCTTGACCAACAACTCTGTTTCTAAGCTGATCTTCTAGACCCATAAGAAGCATTCTTTCATCTGCTGTGATCTGCTGAACTGGAATTCCAGACCAAGCTGCTGCAACCGCTGCAATATCATCAGGTCCCACCTCTATAGGCCTGAAAGCGGAATCAAACTAATGTTACCTTCTTTAAGTTTCTTTAAAATAATTATATTGTAAATATGTAAAAGAAGAAAATCATACTCCTCGTTGCCTGATGCAGGCGGCAGAGAAGACTCTTCAACTAGTTCACCAGACTCATCAGCAATGGCATTACCATCTTCCTGGTTCGGTCTACTTGATAGAACCTATTAACAGATAATGAAACAGTTTAATAGGTAAATATAATAAACATCCAAGTGTAAATGTCTAGTCTATTACCACTTCGTGCATGGCCTGAACAGTTCTGATCTCTTGCCAGTAATCATCCGGTGGCTTTGAGAGGATACAGATTGCATCCTCCTTCTTCTTTCTAAAAGCCTCAATGCGAGCTCTGCTTCCTGCCTCGTCAATAAGATCGATAGCTTTGTCTGGAAGAAATCTATCCGCAATGTAACGTGATGAAAGGTACACTGCAGCATCTATGGCTTCCATAGTGTATTTGCAGTTGTGATGGGCTTCATATTTCTCACGAAGGCCTAGCAAAATCTTCACCGCGTCTTCCTAAAAATGTTGTTAAAGATGAATACAATGGATGAGAAAACAGATGTTGTTTTGGTTGATAAGATTAGAAAACACTGGCTTGAGAAGAAACCTCGCTTGGCTCGTCAATCAACACTGGCTGGAATCTCCTTGCCAGTGCTTTGTCTTTCTCAAACTGACTCCTGTATTCGTCAAGGGTCGTTGATGCAATACACTGCAAATGGTTGATCATTGATTAGTAAAGAGCTAGCTTTAGAGCAACATATACATTAGAACCTCTATAAATTAATACTCGATAAATTAATATACACTAAATATCTCTATAAATTAATATAATTTTCTAATCCTAAATTGAGTTTTTGGTTCAAATAGTATATCTATAAATTAATATCTCTCTAAATTAATAAAAAAATAAAATTTTGGTGTAGTTCCAACATTATTAATTTATAGAGGTTTCACTGTAACTGGCATATGTTTCAGTAGGACTTTTGCTTCTGTTATATTTTCATGTGAACTACATGAGCATAAACCAAGCCCAAAGTGGTTACACTTTCTCAAAGCAGCATAAAGTCAATTCATTCAGCATGGGTACCTGAAGTTCACCCCTTCCAAGTGGTGGTTTCAAGAGATTAGCAATGTCAAGCCCAGACCCTTTGTTTCCTCTTCCGACAGTGCCAGATCCAATAAGAGTGTGCACTTCATCTATGAAGAGAATAACCTTACCTATGAGATAGCAAAAGCAAAAATAAAAAGGTTAATAATGTGCTATTTTAATTTTGCAGTCTTCTATGTATTAGTATTTTGAGATCAATAACCTGATTTTTTTACTTCGCTAATCAAAGCAGTGACTCGTGACTCCAGTTCTCCCCTTTCCTTTGCACCAGCCATTAGCAATCCTATATCCAGGGACATGATGCGTTTCGTCTACATTTATAGCAACAACAAAACTGGTCATGTACATGGTTGACCAACTTCAGATTTTTACAAAAACCATTTGCTTAGATGTTGGTACGCACCAAGAGAAAACCAGGAGCATTTGCTTCTGCAATACTAATCGCTAGTCCTTCGGCAATAGCTGTCTTCCCAACACCAGCCTCACCGAGAAGAATGGGGTTGTTCTTGGTTCTACGGCAAAGTATCTGGATGACTCTCTGAACTTCCTTCTCCCTGCCAATAACAGGATCAATACGCCCCTCACTAGCTCTTGCCGTAAGATCCACACAGAACTGTTCCAGTACACTTTTCTCTGGTGAAACACACAAATTTAGTTAAAACGGTCCATCAGTATCATCAGAACAAATAACGTGAATTAAGACATTACCTTTCTTTCTTCCAGGACCACCACCAACTCTGCCATTAAGAGAAGCATCAGAGTTCCCTTTAGAAGAAGGTGGTTCTCTTCCATCTTTAGCAATCTCTCCTTTAAGTCTAGTCAGTGCTGCTGCTGTGAGCAAATTCATATTTGCTCCCAACCTATATAACAACAACAAATTTAAAGCCAATTAGAGATAGCTTGTTTCATCGCAACATATCTTATCTGAACTGCGAGAATAACTGACTAAGCTGTGCCATAAGGGTCAGTTAAAGATAATGGTCTAGTGGTAATAGGCGGATTTAGTAGATTAAATAAGACATTTAAGAGTCTGTTCTCAGTTTTTTTAGTTAAAAGTTAACAGACGGTATCTTATATTCTGCTAATTTAGTTAAAAGTTAAGAGACTGTATCTTATATTCGGCTAATTTCTTATATTGTGTTAAGAACCATCCTAAGAACCCAAGAGGAGTTTTTATACCTCTTGAGGACTCTGCCGGCGCTACCATCATCAACAGTGAAGAGTCCAACGGCTATATGCTCAGGAGCAATATACTGACACTCCAAAGTCCTTGAAT